AAAGACTCGACTGTAAGTTACCTGAGAATTCTCCACTCATCTGTAATCAGTGTAGCATATTATTGTGATGGTCTTCTTGCCCATCATGGTGAGCAAGTCCAGTATTCTGCCAGTGCATCCTTCCAGGCAGGGTCTGAAAGCACAAGAACAAGCAGAAATGAAAGCATCTTCATTCCTACAAACGTTTCGTATATCTCCTAAGAGGGACTGGCTTGAGACTTATCATGAAGATTTTAAAACTTTATTTGCATTGTCAGCATAACATAGACCATGCCTGCTGATTAAAATAAACACACAACTTCTTAAAAAAGGATGCAGTTATGTATCTAAAAGATGTCATGTGCCAATAAGCTGCATTATTTGACTATGAACAAAGGAAAATATTTATTTCCTACTGCAAAGTTTAATTTTTCTACCTGCAAATATTAATTCATTTTTTCTCTGATTTATCCAAGAAACCATATGCAAATATGATTAAATTGATACATAGACATTGGGAGGTTTCGTTTTTGGGGGGTTGTGGTTTTGGTCCAGTTTTGGTTTGGGTTTTGGTGGAGTTTTTTTTCCCAAATATTGGAACAAGTGGCCCAGAGATGTTTGCAACTCTGTTCCCTCCAGGCCATTCACCATGGGACTCATCCAAACAGATCCTTGAAGAGGCCAAAATTCACTCTCCTGAAGTCTAGGTATATGTTCTTCCTCCATGTGAGGACAAAACACTGGTGTGTTTTGTCACCAGAAAGTTTGGGGTTGGCCATCTACTCAGGCAGGGCCTCTTTTCCCTAGCCTGGCACCTGCATTGGCAAGCCAGTTGAATCAGGACAGAGAGCCTGCATGACCCAGCGCCAGCCCCAATGGTGCTCAGCTCTGGGGAATGAGGCCCTGCACAAGCCAAGAAAGATGGACATACTGCTGCCATCAAGCACAGGCTTTCTTCTCACTCTTTCAGATGCAGCCTTGGTGCCTGCACTTCTCCTCAGCTTGTAAAGGACCCCTCTTTTGGCAGATGGGCACCATCAGATGCCCAGTGCACCACCACCCCCACAGCCATCCCCACTGCATGCTCTCTGCAGGACTTCCCCACAGCATAAAAGCTTGGAAAATAGCTTTTATGAAAGCTATTCCACATTTTTGATCAGCATCTTCTTTATTTTGGTGTTCTTTCTAGTTCTTCCATGGTGCATCTCATCCGCATAGTAGATGGTGGCCATTCTAGAGCAGGGTCTCCTTTACGCAATTATTTTACATAGTGCCATGAATCTTGGACTTTGGAGTTTCAGGCTATTACCATAACACAAGTGCATGGCAGTGTAGCACTGATGCCCTGCTGTGATATTAAAACCACTAAGGAACATGTCAATGTAGCTGATATCTCTGGTAGTGATTTGTGGTAGATTTTCCACAGCACACCCATGCATTAAAAGAAGTGAAATAGTTGGTGAAGAAAGTGATGGCCAAAGGCTGAAGCAGTGCTGTGGTATGTCAGGGGAATCTGTTTATTATACAGTTTGTCCAGCATGCATGAAAATTAGCAGTACTATGTAATTATTTAATAAGTACTTCACAATTTTGCTTACCTTGACTAACCAGAAAGTTACATTCCATCTTTATCTGCTTATGAGTAGACTTCCCCATTATTCAAAGATACACTATAAGTTTCCAGACCATATGTTTTCATACTACACAGTTTTTTAGAGGAAGTGTTGCTGCAGCAGAATCTATGCCAGGAGCAGGCCATTATAGTAATGCAGTTTCTCCGAGTGACTCCACCTCATTCCCTGGCTGTTGGTGACTGTGCAAGTGCTTTCTTCTCAGGAAGACTGGTATCTTCAGTTGAAGATACCACGTTAGGTAGAACTTAATGTACCCTGCCATCATGACCTCCTATGATTGGGTTTCCTTATTTGCAAAATGTCTTGCTTTAGATTGAACTGTCAGTTGCCAGTTCCACCCACTCAGCTGCATCTGGCAAGCTTGCTTCATAGTTTCAGGGACTTTGTCACGCTGAAAGTAAAGTATTGATGTCTTTAACAGGCTACTGTACTCATTGTTGGTCTGCTTCCCAATGTTGATATATAGCTAACGTGTAATTTCTATTGCCCTTCCCAGGCACGTGTGTGTACATATAACAGGCACAATAGAAAAGTATGAATTTATTATAAAATGCTGAAACCATAACTTCTCTGCTTTGTTTCAGATATCATCTACCAAAGTGACCCAGCTTGTCCTAAACCCATTTGGAAAATAAACCTTAGCAAGAAACCTGACCTTAACTTGTGCTACAACCCTCTCTTGGTTTCCCCGGTCTGCTGGTGGCTTAAGCTACTTTTTTCTGCCTGAGCTGCTGTTACATAAGAAAAGCTACAATGTAAAGATGGATTTAAAGACCTACCCAATAGGCCTTCACCAACAATGACCTCGCCTGTACAAGCGCATCTGCTGTTTGAAGAAACCAGACCAAGCTGGCTGAAAGCAGTAAAGTTACAACAAAATCATGCAAACTCAGCTAACAAATATGCATTACGTGCACTTGAATGACGGGTTTGAGTGTACAAATACTCAAAGTGAATATTAACAGGTGATATCATGGCCAAAGCCAATAGGTTATGTAAACTGTAAAAATGAATATGCCAATAGTCTTAAGATTGCATATAAGGAATCAAGAGTTGTAACACAGAGTCCTTGTGCTCCCAGACAAGAAGCATTTGTATTGCCAGCAATAAAAAGCCATTTTAGCTAGCGTGTACTTCTGCTGCCTTCTTTCTGGTACTCTCGTAAGAACTGGAAGAAAAGAAAAATGCAAGCAAATCCATTTTTGTAATACTGCTGCTGACATGACTGTTCTAGTCATGCAGGACAACAACTCTTTTCTGCTGGCTGTATTCAGGGCCAGAATTTCTTCTTAGAATGGCATAAAATTGGAGGCTTTGCTGAGGTCAATGACAATGGAGCCGTAAGTTTTCATAAAAACTCAAATTGAGAATATGTAACTAAGGAAAGTGGAAACAGATTTATTTGGTTTTATTTGTACCAATACTATCTGGGACAATTACAGTTCATACATGGTGAGGAAAGAGAATGTTAAAACTTATCAATTCTGCAAACTGATAAGGCTACAGCACAGGTTTCGATGGGAACCCTATATTACATGTTTGGCATCAATAGGACACAGACCAAGTTTCAGGCAGCCCACCAAAATACAACCCTCAGCTGGCAGAAGCAGTCCTGCAGGGACCAACTGCACACAGAGGCAGGGTGCAGCTCCAGGGCCCTCCAATGCCACCTCCCAGCAGGCTCCCACACACAGCGCTTCTCGGGAGCGAACCCCCCTGAGGGCAGGCAAGCACCTGGCTGGCCCTGCTCCTGCTCCACACACAAGCAATGACACTGCGCAGCTGCAACCCCACAACAACCACCTCCATCACTGCCAAGACCTTGATGCTTTCTGGTTGGTATGTGTTTCTCGACCAAAGAGCAATCCACCACAGGGAATGCTTTCCAACATCGTCTCTGCATGCGGGAAAGCCAAAGGGGAGAATTTTTCAGAGTGCACTGTGATTTCACTTCACAGAAGTGCTGTAGCAGGTGACGTGCCCCTCATGCTCTCCCAGCCTGCCACTCCCAAGCACCATGGCAGGGCTGCCCAAGCCCTTTGACCAGCTGCCAGGTCCCAAAGACCTTCACATTGTCCAGCTGCCACTGAAACAGGCTGTCATGGTTTGGGCTGGACTGGCCACTGAAGCAAATGACAGGTGCTCTCCCCAACATCTCCTGCCGTGCTGGGGGAGATGATTCCTGTCAGCCCACAAGGGCCCCATGCAGAGTTTCTGGGGGTGACCCATCCAGGCTCTACAGAAAAGCAGCCAGGGGGAATGGTACAGAGCAAGCTGAACGTCAGCCAGCACCGTGCCCTTGTGGCAAAGGTGGCCAGTGGTGTGCTGGGCTGCAGGAGGAGGAGTCTTGCCAGAGAGCCTTGAACTGAATCTGGCAAGGGACGCCAAAGGCAACAAGAAAAGCTTCCTCCCAATTCCAAAGGAAAGACATTAAACTGAAGCCCACTTACTCCATTTGAAGCCAATAGAAGCAGCATGAGTGAAAGAACTGCAGGACTGTCCCTTTGCTCAGGGAAAATTTCTTCCTTTCTACCTATGCTGCCTACAATTTCTCAGTGTATTTTCCCCACACCTTTCTCTTATGAACCCAGTGTGCTTTCATTATTGTGACCCTTTGTGCTTTAATGATACAGTCTAATAATGGGGGAGGGAGGGATTGCGGGGTGGTGTCCATTATATCTGGAGGTATTCCCTTGTCAGCCTGAGTGGGTGGCTAGATGATCGTTGTACGTCCCTTCCACTGAACTATTCTCTTCTCTTCTGTTCTATTCTATTCTACGATATTCTATCCACTTTATAGGTTTTAACAAACAGCAATGAAAATAGAAAGGAATAACTGCGCCAGCTCAGTCAAGCATGTAACTCTCTGTAACTTGGGGCAAACAAGTCCCTTTGTAGGTAGTCCCTTTTCTTGAACGTTGGTTCAATAAAGCTCCAGTTTATCTTGATGTTAGAAAGTAGGAAGTGGATAATTCTGGAAAGGATGAATCAGTAACTCTTTGTTTCATTGTCATGTTCTGAGTCTCCACTGACTTGAGGAGGAACTTTTGCTGAAAAGTTTAAACATCTGTACAGCACAAAAGTAACCACCAGTGGTATGAATTTTTAGTAATGTAGAATGGGTTTGGTTTTTTAATTCCAGATAATGAGACCACAGCCAGGAGCCCGTCTTGAAGTGAAATGCCCTCTGCTGGCCATGAACTGATTTTCTTAGTGTTAAAAATGAGGCCTTTAGCATGAGTTTGTTCTAAGCAAAGCTCATGTTTAATAGCAACTTTTTTTTTTGTTCCGTTGTTGTCTTGCAACGTAGGTCAAATTACTGTGTCTTACACTACTCCTATGATTCAATAGATAAGGGTTTTGCTCTTCATACTGTGTATCTCTCAGGAAAGAAAGGCAAAAAATCACTACGTCAGCAAAGAACTGGGGCTGGGGCCCCCTCTGAACATGCAGCGTCTGTCCTTGCTGAGGTCCTCGGAAATGCAGGTGAGCTCCCCAGATCAGGTTTGAGGGCGACAGCCTCTGCTTGGACACAGGCTGATAGCTGACAGTCCAGCTCTGTGGAATAAACTTCCCCTGGATCAAATAACATACATGAAAGCACAGATGTGTAATTTTGTCTTTATTAAAAAAAAAAAAAAAAAAAAAAAGAGGCAGCAATTCACATTGTTGTCTTGCCTTCCTGCCACGCTAGCATGTTTGTTCTAGGAAATGCCATCTTCACATCACTTCTTCATGAGATACACAGTCTCCTTGCTCCAGGCTGGTAGCAGTGCCCTCATAACAAACATAAGCCCTTTCCCTAGAGCTTCAACTTTGTGAGTTTACTGTGTAATACAGAACAAATTTGTCAAGACCCATGGCTTTAAATGTTTCTCAATATAGTTGCATATTACCTTCACCAATAGAAGAAATACAGCTTTGTGTAAACCAATACATCCTGTTTGTGTTCTCTTTTGGGGTTCAAATTGTGACCTTCTGAGATGAGGATAGCTGAAGATGGTTTCTATGGCAAACTTCTGTGCCTTTGTCTTCTGGGTAGAGACACCTATTTGTCAAACTGGAGCCTGCATTATGAAACCTTTTGGTGATATTTTGGTGACATATTTGTGGCAGGTTATTAAGCACACTGGGAACAAGTCACAAGCCTTGAACTTGGAGGTCAATTTTCTACATCAGCATAGAAAAAGAGGAGTTGTTATGTGGGCTAAGGAAAGCAGACCTCAAAGTTCCACCTCAGAATTCACTCAGGTCATTTTCTTGCTTTCATTAATGATACAGTCAAAACACTCAGAGAAAAGAGAAAAGAAAAAAAGAAAAAAAAAAGGAAAGAAATTAGGTTAGGTGCTCTGCTGTTGAAAACAATGTCAAAATTCCCACCGACTGCAACAGAAACACAAATGGACCTTACAGAGAAGTCATTTCCCCTGAGAGCACAAGATAATAAAGGTGAAACAACAATGCTTGAAAGCAAGCTTCAGAACTCTAGGAAACTGAAGAAAGGACAAGTTTAAATTGAATATACAGCTTGTTAATACTTGACTTCCTATGGTGCTACTGCTGTTATTCACCACTGCAAGTTCAAGGCCTCCAGTTTGTTGCAGAAAAAAAAATAATTATATATATAAACCATCCTTGGTTTTTAGTCAAAGAGCTAGGCCACAGAGACACAGGCAAAATTAAAGTTATTCCTTAAATATAACATGCTTAAACATAGGTAGCAAGATACCTATTAAACATGAAGAGGAGACAAGCATTCGTCTAGCTTGAACAAATGGCTACTTGATATGGCACACGGGGTTTTTCTGAAAATTCTACCTATGCTTCTGAACAGTGGAAATCTAACCTTACAGAAGTCAACATGCTTCTGAAAATTGAAATCTAGCCCTACTGAAGCGAACAGGAAAAAAAGTAAACCCATCTCTTTCAAAGGAAAGACAAGGAAGATGGAATTTAGGTGTTAATGTCCCCTGAAAAATGAAGCGAGCTCTGGAGTAAAATGAAATGTGACCAAAACTGTATTTTCACTGACAATTTTTACGTTTTCATTACCTAAACTAAACAACTGCCTTTTCACAATGTAATTAAGACTGATATTTTAGAAGTCTTCTAAAAATAGTTTAAATGGCTACTTCTAAGACAGAAGTCCTTCTTTCTCTCAGTCATACCTATGAGAACATGTTCTCATACATAGGAGAACAAAAGGCCATACTAGAGCAGGCTGACTTCTAACCAAAATAGTGAAGAGTGGCCGTCTATGAAAAGTGTTTAAGCACTGGATGAATAAAGAAAGCTCTCCTAGTACTTATCACAGGGCTTGATCTATGCTCAGATTCTGTGCTCAGATCCTTGTCCAGACAATGGTATCCTTGAACTGATGATAGGTATCTTTGAATTGATAATAGACTTTTGGTTGGGTTTTTTCCTGATGTTTTGAAGCCCTTTTGAACTGATGTAAACAACTCCTTTGACATTCACAGCACCCTGTGACAAAGAATGGCAGCATAGCTGTGGGTTACCACCACCACCTTTTCTTTGTTTTGAACCTGCCACACACTAGGCCCATGTTCCCTCTATAAGGTAAGATGGTGTACAAATATCCCCAAAGCATCTTTCCCACACCAATCACTATTCTGCAGATCTCTGTCATACACTTACTCAATCTTCTTTCATTTATTTTTCCTAAAGGCTTTACATTGTTTTACATTGTTGTCAATGACAACAGTGTAAAAAACTTTTGGTTTTTTTTTCCTGCTTTTCTATATTTTGAAAGGAGAGGAACCAAGCAGTACCCCGTATTCAAACTGCAGATGCATTACACGTTATGGATTTACACAGTGTGCAAATTTTGTTTTCTGTGCTACATCCTTTTTCTAATAGTTCCTAACATTTCATTTGTTTTTTAACTCCACCTGATCACTGAACTGTGTTTTCACAGGACTAGCTATTATAATGATCATCTCAGTATCCACTGCTGTATATGTCAAGTTGTATGTGTCTCTTTTCCACCGTGCATCCCTCCTCATTTATCTACACTGAGCTTCCTGACCTGGTCCTTAAAACACAAGACTTAGGAGGTCCTTTCACAGCTATTCACAACTAATCCTTACCTTACTATTCTGCATGGTTTAGTGTCATCTGCAAACTTTGTCACCTCTTCCAGACCACTAAGATGAATGCTGTATCTGACATGGGCACTGAGCCTGTCATGAGTCACCTTTTTTTTCAAACAGATTTATGTAAAATTTGAACAGTGGGACTGAAGACATGACTCCAAGCTAACCACCTGAGCTGCTTTCCATACTCCTGTATGACTACCTGAAGCAGAAGATCCCGGGGTAGAAGATAAATCCATTCTGCTGACATTATTCAAGGAAATGATGGTACACTTGTCCTCCATACCAATTTTCGCCAATATCTCTTCCAATTGCTTGAGTACCTCAGGGAATCATGCTGAGACAATGACTTCAAGGTGCCACAGGTGTCCAGATTCAGCTGTATGGCACTGTGCATGAGGCAACAGAGCTATCTACTCCACAATTCCTGAAGGTGTCAAGCTCAATACTTTGCCTGGAAATCTTACACTGCTGAAGCCAGAGAGTTTTGTGTTGGTGAGCAGAATGCGGACAATTCCTTACACACTAGAAAATACATATGCATGATAACAAAGATTTCTGGATGTTTTCAGTATATTTTCTGCAGACTTTCTCTATGGGACCTAAGTGTTGTTCTACTGATACACCAGGCCCCTTTATGGAAAATTAATGAGGCTATGAAAATCAACTTTAAAGGATACAACATTTGCTGTACGTAGCTGGTGAGCAAAGGAAGAAATCCACATTTTTCCCCTCAAAAATGCTACTGTCTTCCAGTTGAAACCATCTTCTGCTGATGAAAGCCAATGCATAGTCCTATATTCCTCAAAGAATTTTTTAATTATTGTTTAAAAATGCATAGAAGTCAGACATATGTGCACGCAGGCATAGAGACGTATATATACCCATTTGAGAAACTGGCTTTCAAACTACCTTATATATATATAATACATTTGGTATGGTGAGGCATGAGATTTTTAGTAATTGTAAAACGTTTGCATACTGCTGCACTGTAAGGGAGTTGCTCCCTTTCAACTTCATAAATCAACAAAGAAAACACACCTGCTGCTGAGGTAAAGAAATGGTCACGAAAGCTTGAGGTTAATAGCGAAAGGACTGCTCATAGATAGAGCTGATTGATAGACTTCACACTGCAACAGCCTTTGGAATAACCTGGAGCACCCTCTGAAGCCTGGTTATGAATAAAGTACCACATGCATTAGAAAAATACTTTACTGCTGAGTGTAATATTGTTACACAGAGAACTGCATGGAGTAGGGCGATTAGTCCTGTGCTTTTCTGAAGTTTTTGTCATGCTGACTATCTTTTGGATATATTCTTGCAATTCTGAAAGCCTTAACTTGCTTGGTACTTTAAAATGGCGGCATAGTTCCAGTATCATTTTCCTGATGTAATTCTTGTGTTACCTGCCACAAGAAGTCTAATGCTGTCTAAGCAAAGGCATGGAAATGCTCTCCAGTTTGTCACTTTGGAGATTTGCACAACTTTTATGATACAATTAGCACACTGTGTGTTATGTGACGGGATACGTCACAGGTTCTATGATACAATTTGCACAACATGTGTTGTGTGACCCACAACATGTGCTGTGTGTTGTGTGACTAGATTCTTGTGCAAAATCCTTGTGTTTGACAGGTATTTTATACATTCATATTGCATTGAATATTTGACTTCATACTTCAATAATAATTTTTCATATGTATATATGTACAAGATACTGTACTGCTGTTGATGGAGAACAATATAACTTGCAATCATTGTGGAAGTTGAATAAGGTACATATTACTGTTAATTATAATTCCTTCCTAATTTGCACAAATTTTCTCCTACATCAAAAAGGGGCATCATACTAACTTTTTATCCATGAAGCAAGTAACCACTGGATTCTGTTGCTGGAATCAAAATTCTGTGAAGATTCTCTGAAGCTCTAACAAACATCCCATCCCACACTGCCAGCTACTTAGTACTTAAACTAACCTTAACCTGTACTTCATCTAGCTTTAGAACAGTATGTCACAATGTATATAATTTTTTATTTACTCAGTAACAACCTTCTATTTTCTCATCCTTCAAACCAAGGGGGGTGTACAACACATATAAAGGCAGGAGCTGTCAACGGCTTCTTAAGTCTTGCAGAAAATCCTCTTTCTAGGTAAGTATCACATCTTACTTTGCAGAATCAAACCATTGCTTTTCTGCATGGTGCCAATAGCGATAGAGCTAACAGTAGTCCGAGATGTCAGGTAACAGTAAAGACCATTGCCTTGCTTCAATTGTGCTCATTAGGTAGATGTGGGCAGCTCCCTGCTTTGGGTGTTAATGATTTCTGCTTAGCTCTCTGCTGCATGAAGAGCTTCAGTGCCTAGCTCAAGATTTTCAAAGTCCACTCAGTGACACGGTAAGCATCTCTTCAGAAGCACTGCACCCTGCCCTGCTGCTTTGTGTACACAGCTGAGGGACTATGTATATATTAATTACCGAAGGAAATCTATGAATTAGTGAAGGAAGACATAAGCTAAATTGATCTATGTGGCATTAATCAGAGCTAAAATAACAGGAACAACCTCCTTTGAACTCCTAATTGTCATAGCCAAATGTGAAGTTGTTGACCATTGATCACAGTCTATCATTGAAGTAAATGCTCATTTTCTCAAGTTCAGTTTGCAAGACGCCTACCAGCAATCTCTTAACACTTTCCATTTATGTAGCAC